GATTATTCAACAAAGAACTTCAGCCATTTCTTCTCAACTATTTCAACAAAGAACTTCAGCCATTTCTTCTCAACTATTTCAACAAAGAACTTCAGCCATTTCTTCTCATCTTTCAGCTGTTTCAGCAATTGATTTCAGGCATTTTCAGGTCGATCTTTCAGCTTATCAGCATCCACACACATTTACGACAGGAAATGCATTTCTCTAGTTGCATTTACTGTTGGTTAAAGTCTGTCTTCTGTCAGTCCTGGATTATGTTGTTCATCTGCAAAGGAGAAAAGTAACTAAGTACATTTACTCAAGTACTGTACATGAGAACAATTTTGAGGCTTGTTTATTTTACTTGAGTATTTTGATTTTACTTTGTACTTCAACTTCACTACATTTTACAGAAAATATTGTACTTTTCACTCACTACATTTATTTGACAACTTTAGTTACTAGTTACTTTTCAGACTGAAATCAATTAATAAAAATACAATATAATCATTAGACTTTATTAATCCCTGGTGGGAAATTAACATGTTACCCAGCAACATGTAAAGTACTTCAGAGTATAAGCATATAGCTGTACCTTTACCAGGTGCACCATTAAATGTGATGTGCACAGTGATAAATAACTATTATAGTCCAGTAATATGATCATATGAATGTTGCCATTCTGCATAATGACCACTTTCACTTTTAGTACTTTAAGTATATTTTATGCTAATACTTTTATTGTTTTACTTAATTTGAATGCAGAACTTTTACTTGTACAGAGTATTTTTACACTGTGGTATTGCTACTTGTACTTAAGTAAACAATCTGAGTACTTCCTCCACCAATGTTCATTTGTACAATAGATCTCCATTGTTGTTAAAAAATGACTGAAAACATGTCAGGTAAAAATACCACTGCACTAGATGACAATTTTTTTTCATTATGAAGGAAACCCCAGACCCTACTATGCTGCCTCAAAGACTCCAAGTGGCTATAATAATTAACTGTACATGAGTGAGATCTTGTACAAGCTCTCAGCTTTGTTTAAATCAAATCAGAAATTATTTATATAGCACTTTAAAACAACAGGATGTTGACTAAAATACTTCACAGATATAAAACATGAATAATAGGACACATAAAACAATAGATTAACATAGAATAGAAAATAAGAATAACTATGCAATCAGAAAATAACAAACTGAGCAAACTCCATTAAGAATCATAGGCCAGCGCAAATAAATACGTTTTTAATGAACCAGTTTTTAGTGAGACAGATCTAAAATTTATAGGTAGGGAGTTCCACAGTCTTGGGGCTGCTACCCTGAAAGTGCAGTCTCCCAATCAACATTGTTTAAACCTTTTGTACGTTTCAGGTGCAGTACACCCATTTTCACCTTTTATCTAAAGAAAAAAGATACAAGTAATTATTTTTTCAGGCTCAGACTCAATGACCTTGGCTCACTTTGTGTGAAGAACATATATCAGAACACATTTTCAGTGACCGCACACTGCATAAAGAGCTGGGCTGCCTGTGATGCCGCAATCTCGTATGCTTGGAACTTACAAGTCTATACAGGAAAACCTGATGGAGGAGCCCCAGAGATAAATCACGGGATGAGAGTTGTCCCAGACCTGACTCAGAAGCTCAGTGGACACAGTATCACTGGGACAATTTTTTTTACCTCGCACAAGCTGGGACAGGAGCTCCTGAAGAGGAAGCTGACCATGGTGGGAACTATTCGCAAAAACAAGTCTGACCTCCCACCTCAACAAGTGATTACAAAGGACAGGCCTGTGAAGTCTTCCAAGTTTGTGTACACGGCTGACACGTCCCTGGTGTCCTATGTGCCAAAGAAAGGCAAGAATATTGTTCTGATGAGTACATTGCACAGGGATGAGAAAATCTGTGGCCAAAAACCACAGATCATGTGATTTATAGGTTTGTCTGTGTTCAATGGGGCTGTGCAAACTGTCCTGCATGTTTGAAGTTCAAATAAAAATCAGCAGTTGTGAAAAATCTTGCTTCATTTGTAAATTTGTTGCTTTTTTTCCAGTCTAACAAAAAATTAGCATAATACAGTTGTGTAATGTAATCTAACAAAGGTAATGTCATGATCCTACCCCTCCCTACCTCCAGCTCACCCAGACTCCTGGTAACGTCACCTCATCTAACACAGTGGTTTCACCTGCACCTTAATCCTGCTCACCTGTTTCCCACAGTATATAAATAGCGGCTCCTCATTCTGTGGGGAGCTGCCAGATTGTTCTATGCCCCGTCTAGACTTTCCAGCGTTACTAACTCTTGTGCCTGACTACCCGGAGATCGACACCCTGCTTGTTACACCAATCTGTGAGTTTGCCCCTCCCCTCTTGTCCACCTGCTCTCCCGATACCGACATTCTGCCTTGCCTACCCTGCTGCCTTTCTAGAGATTACGACTTCGGACCAAACTGACCCTGCTTCCTGCCTTGTCCCTGAAAGACTGTTACTGTTTCTGCTTGTGTCGAAGAAATATTAAAACCAGTTCTACTGTCGCAGCTTGCTGGCTCTTTAATAGGGTTCACATGTCAGATAAAAACATGTTACCTCCACAGGAACTGTGCACTCCCGATCCGTGACAGGTAAAGGGCAAATGTAAACATCTGTTGATTATTAGAGTTGATTATTGTATTGTTTTAAAATTCTTTGATTATGTTGAGTTAAAAAACCAAAAGATGGCATCGAATGGTTAAGCAATGAAAAGAGGAGAGAACAGGGGAAGTATGGTCAAATTGGCAAGTATTCATCAGGAGATGTGCACCATCATTTTGTACCATTTGAAGGTTGATTAGTAAAGATTTGTTGACCCCAGAATACAAAGCTTTACAGCCTGGAATCTGGAGCTAATAAAGCATGAATGGAACCCTCCAAATCACTGAAAGAAATGAAGGGTTTAGCTTTGCTTAGCAATATTAGTTGCAGAAAACTAGTTTTTATAACAGCATAAATTTCCTCATCAAATTTCAACTTATCAAATAAACCTGGGTTTTTAAAAGTAGTCTTTGAATGAGATACTAGAGGACAAAGGTTGCAAATAGAAAGAATCTGCATTTCCAGCTAAAACACATTCAGTTTTGCTCATCAGGGTGTAAGAAATTTGGTGCTAACCAGGATTTGATGTCATTCAGACAGTCAAGTAATGAGGGAGGGGTGCCATTTCTTGCTTTCAGTTGTAAATTTGTATGTCATCTGCATAGAAGTGAAAGGTATACCCATGTTTTTTTAGTATGGACCCAAGTTGTAGCATATACAAAGTAAAAAGAGCTGGTCCAAGAACAGACCAATGGGGAACACTACAGGTTAGTGGGGGCAAGAGAGGAGGACTGCAGTCCAATATTAACTTCAAAGTTTCTATCCATCAGATAAGACCAGAACAATTTTAGAACAGTACCGTGTAACCCAACATACTATGCAAGCTGAGATAACAAAATTCCATGGTCCACTGTATCAAATGTTTCAGTAAGATCTAAACATAGCAAAAGAACACAATCACCAGGACCATAGGAACAAAAAAATAACATTAGTAACCTTTAAAAGAGCTGTTTCAGTAGTATGCCTTGATCTGAAACCAGATTGAAACTTACCAGTGGTGCCATTAGTATTCAGAAAGACTCCAAGGTTCAAGGATTTTATTGTCAATTCGGCATATGTGCAGGACATACAGAAAATCAAAATACCATTTATATGTTTATACCATTTATAGTTTTGTTGTTATAGACTTACAGAGAAGAAAAAACGTTTTTGCTACAAGTGCTGCAATATCCTTTTGATTCACTCCCAGAGCTATCATCAGCACAGTAGGCAGCTGTTATCTTCAACAACAACAACAAACAAACAAACAAAAAACTGAGAGAAACCCAGTGCACATCTCCTGTTCAGTGCCCAGTGGCAGACAGAAAAGGTTAGTGACTAGGTGGTCAACATAGTGGAATATATAGTTTCTAAAGATGTCTTCTGTTTCCAAAATGGAGATTAAAAAGGTGATACATCATTGGAATTGGTTCATCAGGTTGCCACAAACATCTCCCATGTTGCCTCACGTGCCAATTGTTTGCTGCCCATGTTCACCATATCAACCTTAGTAGGTCAATATGTCACTGTTGGCTTTAGGTGTTTTATACAACAAAAACAACTGTGTTTTACTATATTGTCATGACCTAAATGTCTATATACCAGCTAACAGTGTCTTTGCATTTTGAAGAGGTGATCATGTAAAAGGTTTTTTCAAATTTCTGCAGTCCAGATCTATTGTATTTTGGAAAATTACTTCACATGCAGTATGCATACTGTGAAGTCTGCTGTGCTGTTGTTTCTCAGCTGGAGGACTTCAAAGCACAGATGGTGGAACTGGAAAAGTATGACACCATGCAGGTGGTGAAGAGACAAAAAGCTAACAGGATTTTGAAGAGGGATCTGGACCAGTGCAAGAATGGACTTCACCCCACCAACCAACCCACTCAGCCTACACAAGGTAATCCTACAATCATTCTACACAGGGTTTAGCATGATGAGAATGTGAAAGATAAGCTAGGTAATTATTGTCACTTAATTAAAAAAAATGAGATTATTAACTCAGCTCACAGCATGGTGGACAACAGATGCAATACATGTTATTAGCAAATAAACCAAACAATGGATACTAAAAACAAATTGGACAAACAGTGGCTCAAACTAAAAAATAAGTTAAAAAGGGAACAGCAGTAGCATGTAAAACACAACACAATGGCTAAACAGATATAGTGCATATAGGTAGCATGGAGTAGCTTCAACTTCTGTTAAGCATCTTCTAAAATTGCAGAAAAGTATTTTCAAACACAGTATTACATATCTTGGTGTCCATATAGATAAAAATGATGTAGTGTAGGTATAAACATTTATTGAGCTCTATACAAGTGATATAGGAGCAGACGGAAATAGGGGAACAGTTCAAAGCCAGGTAAGCATATATTTGCGCAAACAGAGGAGGCTGGGAGTGGATAACTGATGAGATTAGTGACAAACACAGTTCATACAGTACATGAGGCTCAGAAGTGCTGGTCCATGGCAGAAACAGGTAGGTAACAGACAGGAAACCAAGAAGCAGGAGGATGAGCTAGCAGACACACTAGCTGGCGACTCTTTAGTGGAACTGAGTGAATGAGGAGACATTGTTTTTATAATCATCTATTGCCTTTTATTTAAAGGCAGTACCTGTACTATATAGTACATTTTATGCTTTTTAAAAACTTTTTTTACATGTCATGTTTCATTAACTAACCAAAAGGTTCTTCTGGGGAAAAACAACTATGAAAGAACAGCAACATGAAAGAACTGGTTAATCTGTATAATGACTCCCTGTACTTTTTGTCACAAGCTTTTAGTTTGGTAGTGTGGAAAATGTTTTATTTGCTTTAATTCACTATATTTACTTAATTTCATTACCTAATTGCATTATATTTGCTTAACATTGATGTGTACAGGCTGAGATGAGAAAGGTGACTGTGAAGTGACCCTAGTAGCCTTAAAGCAGGCAAGAGAGAGAAAAAAGCTTATCAGTCTGTTGTTTGGCCAGCTGCCCAGACTGAGCGGAGGCCTGCAAGTTTACTGATGGTACAGCTTTACAGAGACATGGATGGAGCCTTTATGTTATATTGAGAATCACTAATTTTGCTTATTTGTTTGACAGATGATTACATACAGGTCATTAATTTGTCTGGTGACCTCAAAATGTCATCAATGGATACTTACTTGTCATTGTATAATCAAATTAATATTGACCATGTCATCTTATGACAGATTAATATGTTTACTTGTTACTTCAACAACTTCAACTTTCAACATGCGCTGTCGCGAACGGGAAAAGCCAAAAGTGTTAGAGTAGTGTCAATCATGTGACTTGAATGTCAGTTTGTCATTTGTCACTTGCATGGTCCTTTGAGGTCATTTAAATTTTTTAGAAACCTATATTGACAAATGAAATAATAGTATATCCCTAAGTAAGTCAAAGAGAAAGGTTAGATGAAGCAAGCCACAGATAAGGAGGAGCTGATTGAGGGTATAAAAAGTGATGTCTTTAGCTCTGTAGTTGTTCCGTGCCATGGACGGGAACCAGGTACAATTTGGCTGTTTTTGATTTTTTTCCTTAATAAATCTTATACTTTGCAACAGACTGTTAGGCTTGAGTGATTTTTGACAGCAGCTAGAGAACTGTGTGGGTGAGAACTGGACCCTGTCTGTGTGTCGTCGCTCTACAGAACGGATGGTTAAAGCAATATGTGGTTGCTTACCCAGACTTTATTGGAACAAAACATCTACAACAGTTTTTCCACACCTCCCACCTGGTCGATGCATCCTTTTTTAACCCACTCTCTAGGAACACTTAAACTATACAAGATTCCACTTGTAACATCCTTTCTATTTTTTTTTCTTTCAGTATGCAAGTATGTAATAATACGGAACCAACCAGCCACTTTCCAGGCTTTAAAAGGCTCAAATGGTTGGACTCTCACCGTGTCCCCCGCCTTGAGGCAGTCCAAGTCTCTCGCTGTGCGATTATAGTATTTCTCCTGTCTTTGTTGCAGATCAGTCCCTGTTTGTCGTTCGTCACCTTAGGTGTCAACAGCAACTCCTTTGTAGGCAGAAGGGTCCGTGTCCTCCTACTCAAAAGTCTCTGTGCTGGACTGGAGTTGAGTCCCTGGCTTGGTGTGTTGCGATGGTCCAGTATCGCCAAATAAGGGTCCTGTCCTGCTGTGGCGGCTTTCTGCATGAGGCGTTTCGCTGTTTTATCAGCAGACTCGGCCTTCCCATTGCTCTGTGGGTGCCCTGGTGAAGATGTTCTATGCTCACATTCCCACTTAATACTGAATTGCTCAAACTCCTTTGATGTGTACTGTGGTCCATTGTCCAATATGAGCACATCTGGTATTCCTTGTTGAGCGAAATGCGCTTTCAACTTGTGAATGACTGTCGTACTTTTAGTGTCTGGTAGGTAGTCAACTTCCCAGAAGTTTGAATAATAGTTCACTGTCACCATATAATCTTTGTTGTGCCATGTGAACAAGTCAGTTCCTACCCCTAGACCAGGGTCTGTCGGTAATGTCATAGGGATGTAATGTCTCCTTCTGCTGCTTGGGGTCCACTGACCTGAAGATGTCACATTTGGAAATTGATGTCTTTATCTGTTCGTTCATCCCCTGCCAGTACACACAATCACGTGCTTGTCTGAGACATCTTTTGACTCCCAGATGTGATGAATGTATACGGCGGGTGCCCTAAGCGTGTCCGGAATAACTGCCCTTTCTCCCCGGAACACGATACCATCCTGGAAGCCTCGCTCGTCCTGAAATGCAAAATAGTGCTAAATGTCTCGATTGATGTCTTTTTTGTCCTTCGGCCAACCAGTGAGAATCAGCTTTTCCAGCTTCTGCAGCTTAACATCCTCTCTCGTTGCTCCTTGGATCACAGGCAGTCTTTCAGTAGATATGGGTAGGTACTCAATCATGTTTACAGTCTCTACTTCCGTCTCACCCTGGTTACTGTCAGTTAAGTAACTTTGGCTCAGTACGTCAGCTAAAAGCATATCTCGACCTGGCACATAAGTAACTTCAATGTCATATTGCTGTAACCTGAGCAACATTCTCTGTAACCTCTTTGGTGTACTTAGTAGTGGCTTTCTCACAATGTTCTCAAGCGGTTTGTGATCACTCTGAACTGTTACTTTTCTATCATATGTATACTGGTGGAATTTTTCCATCCCAAATACTATGGCTAAGCATTATTTCTCTATTTGGGCATAAATCCTTTTCAGTGAGAGTCAGTGCTCAGCTGGAAAAGGCTACAGGTTTGCCTTTCTGTGTCAACACTGCACCTAGTCCTGTCTCTGAGGCATCACATTGTAGTGTTAACTCCTCTTTCTGGTCATAATACTGGAGTAACGGAGCATTTGTAATTTTGTCTTTCAGCCTTCTAAAGGCTGTGTCATGTACCTCAGACCACTCCCACATATTGTCCTTGTGTGTAAGCTGTCTCAGAACTTCGCAGTCATCGGATAGATGGTCACAGAACTTTGTCAAGTAATTCAGCATCCCCACCAGTCTCTGTACGCCCTTTGTGTCTGTGGGTCTGGGCATCTCTTCTACAGCCTGCACCTTCTCCGGATCAATCTAGAGGCCCTCGGTGGTCAGTAGGTGTCCTATGTAAGGAACAGACTGTTTCCTCAGCTTAAACTTGTCTCCACTTAACTTAATGTTCTTCTGTCTGCATCTTTGCAGCAAACGTCTCAGGTTCTCATTTGCCTTTTCCTGTGTGTCCCCCTCACCTGTTATCAGCACATCATCTGCAATGACATACACCCCTGACAAGCCCTCTAGTGCCTGCATGAGTTTCCTTTGGAAGACTTCTGGCGCTGGGCTTATACCCATTGGCATTCTGAGCCACCGGTATCAGCCAAACAGGGTTGCAAATGTGTTGAGGTAGCTTGACTCCTCGTCCAATAAGACATGCCAGAATCCATGTTTCACGTCGCAAACCATGAATACCTTGGCTTTCGCGAGTTCCGGTAGGATGTCATCGATGGTGGGAAGATGAAAATGGCTCCTTTTCAGTGCTTTATTCAGTGGTTTGGGGTCTATGCAGATCCTTGGTTTCCCATTAGGTTTTGTCACTAAGACCATACTGCTTATCCAGTCTGTACTGTGCTCCACTGGTGCAATAATACCCTGGGTTTCTAACTCTTTCAGTTCTTCTCTGAGTGGTGCCATCATACCCACTGGCACTCTCCGCTTAGGCAGTTTCACTGGTGGCACACTTTCATCTATTTCTATCTTATACTCGCCCTCTAGGCAACCTATCCCAATGAAAATTATCTCCAAACTCAGTCTTGATTTTGTCCATGTTATTCAGTTCCTCCCTGCTGTTTCGTGTTTGCTTCGGGTAGTGTTGCTTTCGTCGAAAATTATGACTAAATATCGTCATCAACGAACCTTTATCGTGTGACGAAAACGAGACGAGACGCAACAAAAATGCTGGTCATGTGACGATGACTATAATTAAATGTATAATGCAATATCGTTAAAGATAAAAAATGAGACGAAATGTTATAACGTTATTTTGTCTCATTTAGTCGTGATATTATTATTATTTTGCAGTATTTCTGTTTCCTGTGTCTCGCTTCAGGGGCCGCATCAGACGCGTTGCACTGCGCAGACGCAGGCGACATCACTTCCTTAACCCCCCACTTGCGGCATTATTTAGAAGACGACAACAAACAAAGTTAAGTCTGACACAGAGAAAGGGACCGATGGCCGGCCAGCCGGGGTTCGTCATTGGGAGAAAAAGAAGAAACGACATTTGGAAAAACTTTAATTACATAGAAGTGGAAAAGAAAACGGAATTTGTTGTGGAAAAAGATGGGGAGAAATGCGGCCACAAAATCACACAAAATGTGTATTGGATGTATCCTTGAGTCTATAAGGTAACAATAATATTGTGAGT